CTGAAGTCTGTTGCATATCTGTCTGAGGTTTTTTTTTTTTTTTTGCAGAGCAAAGCTGTCTTCCCGGTGGAGGGCAACTCTGCAGTGCCTTTTTTCCCCCCTCCACCTGAACCAACCTTCATGTAACCCTCTGATCTCTATTAAGGAAGCGCGACTCAGGGTTGCGAATGACCACAGTCACCAGTTCTTGTCATGTGTCTTGCCCATGTATGCCTGATCTGTTGTCCATCAGTTGGAGTTGAGATGGCGCTCGCGCGGGTGCACGCAGCGAGCTGCTCGTCCTCCTTATGCAATGGAACCTTGGTTTTATTGGCTTTTATTGGCGTTTTATTGGCTTTTATGTATTTTTGTTGTCTCTGATGCTTTTTTTGAATGGTGTGGATTCTCTGGTGACGTATGATCGAGCTGCGCTGCTGAGGCTTCGTCCTCCTGTTGATGTAGCGGATGCTGCGTGCTGGGAACCTCACGGATGGCGTTGCTGTTTGGACTGCCCGTGTGCTCTCTCCCCTCAAGCCGTGATGTGTCAGCACTCTGTCCACCCCAGCTCGAGAAGGAAGCATCGGAGAAGACGGGGAAAGAGAGGTAGCCGGCGCGTGAGACGTCGGGCTGGACTTCCTGGATCCCTGAAGAAGCGGCTGGTCCGATTCGGCCCAGCTTCTGACCCAGTGGTTCCGAGATGTCTGATGGATTACTCTGCGCCCTGCCAAGTGAACTTGGCCGGCTCTGAGGGTGAGCTGGCACCGCGCCACGGCCAATCGGCTCGGGGATCTCGCCAGAGTGGGGTTTGCTGGGAGAATCTACGCTCGGTTACGGGCTCAGAGTGAAAGGAGACTGTGCCCGTGCGCGAACCCGGTGCTGCAGCCCCGCCGCAGACCCGGTTTGGTCTGGTCAATGCCAGGTCTGTGCTGAACAAAACTTTTATTCTTCGGGATTTTTTTATTCATCTGTGGTGCTTCTGTTGTTAGATCTGACGGCAGCTTTTGACACAGTTGACCACGCGATTCTACTTGATCACTTGGAACGATGGGTTGGGATCAAAGGGTCTGCTCTGGATTGGTTTAGATCGTATCTCCACAACAGGTCATTCTGCGTTAAACTGGGTGATATTTTTTCTTCTTGGGAGGGGCTCCGCTGGGGGGTCCCGCAGGGATCGATCCTTGGTCCTCTTTTGTTTGCCATTTATCTGCTTCCTCTGGGGTCAGTCTATCGTAAACATGGCCTAGCGTTCCACCTGTATGCTGACGATTGCCAGATTTACTCTATGTAGTCCTTTGTGTCCTGTATTAATGAGGTGAAGTCTTGGCTAATGGCCAACTATCTGCATCTGAATGAGGGAAAGACAGAGCTCATTGTTTTTCACCCCAACAGCAGGGCTGTGGGTCGTTATGTTGATCTTGGCCCTCTTTCTCCCTACTCAAAACCAGTTGTGACCAGTTTGGGGGTGAAACTTGATGCTGGACTTAAATTTGATGCTCACATCAACTCAGTGATCCGGTCCAGTTTCTTTCACCTGAGACGCCTTGCAAAAATCAAGCCCATGCTGTCGAGAGCCCACCTGGAGCGGGTACTGCATGCATTTGTAATTTCTAGGCTTGACTACTGCAACTCTCTATATGCAGGGTTGTGTCATCACTGCGTCGCCTACAGGTTGTGCAGAAACGGCCAGCCAGGTTCCTGACTGGGACCAGGAAACGGGACCACATCAGTCCGGTTCTGGCTTCCCTGCACTGGCTTCCGGTCTGTTATCGTTCACACTTCAAACTCCTCGTCTTTGTTTATAATTTCATCCAGGGTGGTGGTCCCCCCCATCTAGCTACACTCCTGAACAGACATTCCCCATCACGCGGTCTGCGCTCCTCCGACCAAGGCCTGCTCGCTGTCCCTCGGTCTAGGTGTCGTACCCGTGGGGACCGGGCTTTCTCAGTCCTAGCACCGTCTATCTGGAACCAGTTACCACCCTCAGTCAGGCTGTCCCCATCTCTGCCAGTCTTTAAGAGTCACCTAAAAACCCACCTCCTCCGCTTGGCGTTCCCTGAACGTGTTTGAGTTCGGCCATCTTGTATGTTGAATTTATTTCACAGTTTTCATCGGTCTCTCTATCCCTTGTTTTACCCATTTATCTTCTACTAGAATGTTTTACCTTTTTTTGTAATTTGTAATTTGAATTGCTTTTATTTTCGATTTATTCACCATATTTAACTTTCTCTTGTACCCTGTTCAGCGCCTTGGGCTTCCCGATAGGGTTGCGGAAGGCGCTTTATAAATAAAGCTTTGATTGATTGATCTCTGAATTGTGTGTACTGAAACTCTAATTTCCTTCTGGGATTAATAAAGTATTTTTGAATTGATTTGATTGATAGCCACAGCTAACTAGCATTAGCGTTAGAACTACAAACAGAAACACGTTTCTACTTGTGCTTCTGGACCGAAGCCTGTGGCACGCCGGACGTGTGACGGTTACCGTACATAAACCGGTTCATCTAAAATACTAAATGGTGGC